ATTGACCCATGAGGTCCCCTTCTCTTGTACAGTTGACCCTTGGACAATATGGGTTTGAACTGCTTGGGTCCACTTATACATGGAGTTTCTCCAATAAATATGTACTGTGGTACTACGTGATCCATTGTTGGTTGAACCCCTGGATGCAGCACCACGAGGACAGTGGGAGGATTGTCAAGTCGTAGGTGGATTTTCGACTGCTCCAAGGATCTAAGTCCCTAATCCTCACATTGTTCAAGAGTCAACAGGGTTGAATTTAGGGAAAACTCTCCCACCGCTCCCTAAGGAAGGAGAGTTTCCTCTAAGGCTCCCCAACTACTGCCAGACCTGGGCTTTAAGCTTTCTCCCACTTGTCCCCCAAAGCTATCAAACTCAATTTAGGAGATATGTACATATAGGTCAGAGGCAAGTTTGGTGTTCCCTTATGTCTCTTCTATGCATATAAAAATATTTTATGCAGCGTTTTTAGTTAGTTTTTGAAGGAGGAATTCTTCAAATAACCTAGCCTAACATCATTTCTAGAAGCTAAATTTGAAATTTTCCAATTCTCCAATATAACACGCCACCTTGGAATAGAACTGCTTACTTATTAAAATATAATTAAAGTAGTAACAACTGATGAAAATGATTATTTTAACTAAAAACCTTCTTAATCTTGTTCTACAGAATGACAATAGATGTGAAAGAAAAAAGGAGCGTGGTTTGTGGTCAAATAAATTTTGCAGATGCTGTAATAAACACTTTCTGGACAGGTTTCCTCTGAACTTTAATATGCATACTTATGTAAAGGAGAGGTGTATATGTTGCTGTCCTTTCCGAACCTATTTTAACACAAAATTTCTTTTATACTGTAGCATCTCCAAGGACTAGTGTTCCACAGCATGTACTTCAGAAAAATTAAAAAATCCTAAAAACTAACAGCTGCAGATTTGGGAAGATATGGTCATATATGTGTATGATAATTTATTTTTCCCAGTGTTTATGCACCTAACTTTGCCTATTTTCAGCTTTTATAAAACCACTTTGTATCTTTTGCATATTGCAAAATGCTACTTGTTAAAAGATCAAAAAGAAAAGACAATAACTTATATTATTGTCTGTAAACTGATTTTTCTGTTTTCAGGTTGATATTTAAGGACTTAAGAAATCTTGAGTAGATATGATTTCAAGATAAACCTTGGCACACAGGATCTCTTAATGATTTTCTGATGAGTCCCTATGGATTCTTTCGGGACCCCTATTTTTGTATTCAGTTCTCTCAAAGGTGGTAGTAGCATACAAATATTTGCCCTGGCTGCGGGGGCTGGGGGGGGGGAATTGTGAGGTAATTCTGAGTTTAGAGAAGATAAATGTGAAGGAATACAAAACATCAATGAGTTTTCGTAAGTTGAATTCTATGTGAACTTTGTGAATCATTTGGATTGAAAGTGTGGCCCCCCTTCACTCTAGAATCAGCCCCAAGACATATTACTAGCACTGCTTGACACTTTGTTAAGTATTCGCCATAAATTCCTACTTTCATAGACAGTTTTAGTTTTAATTAGTTTACACTGGTGTAGCGTTCCTTACAGAAGGAACGTCATTGTGGTGGGGATTATGGATGGATTTCTTGAGTAATGATGAAGGTTACTAACAAAAGGCCATGCAAACTCACATCATCTCCTCCCATACTCCTAATATAGAACAGCAAAGAAGTTTAACTTCCCCATCTTATTTGCAGTTATTTTCTTAAATTGTATTATATTCAAAGAAAAAGCTATAAATTATTCATATATCTCTTACCTAATCGTGGATTACATTTCAAAATGATGATAATCAACAGGCTATAGAAAATGGTACGATATTTATAGCAACATGGTAACCAACTTAATTAAGTAATATCAAAGACAAATTGAAATCTCTATGTTCTTTCTCTTGATTCAGACAATTTTCTTCATGATATGATAACTCAGATGGAATTACATGGCTTGATTACTTTTTAAAGTGATTATTGAGTTCTCCAGATACTTATTGGTTCCTCAGGATCAGTTATCCACATTTATTAAGTGCTATATCTAATTGGCAAATCTATTCCACTTACACTTTTTAAATTGCTCCATTGTTGGTCAAATTGTGTTTGATGGTACCAGACTCCATTATACAAAGTAATTTAGTTATAAATACGATTTTAGGTTTCCCTAATGTTGTTTCTCTGATTATACATGACAACTTGGATAGACTAGAGCCATTGTAAAGACTGGAGCTGCCATATCATTTTCCATATTATGGAATCAGTCTATATTCTTTATAAATTTGGATCCCAGCAGCAGGTTTAAACTTGATTTGCTGCATCATCGTTTATATTATAGGCAAACTCAAGTGAGTAGCAGTACAATAATATCCATAGTTCAATAGATGAAGACAGCCCATAAAATCCAGATTGTTTGATGATAGAATCTAAGAGTTAAAAGAGACATCGATGATGTAGTACAACTTCTAACTAAGGCAGAAGTATCCTCTGCTATGTACCAGATAGGGGATAGTTATTTTTTTATTTATACAAGTTCAACAATTAAAAAAAAGAAAATCACTTGCTAACAGGGAATCCCATTACAGTTCAAAGCATCAGAGAAGTATCACATCCTTGTGGTTAAGCCTATAGCCTATAGAGCCAGATTGTGTGTTCAAATACCATTTCTACTATCTCCTTACTGGGAAGCTAAGTACATTTCATCACATCCCTGTACTTCAGATCTGTGATGTGGAAAATAGATTTCTATAAAGATTACATTCATTGAGACATACAAAGACACAGAGTTAATAATGTACAAACATACCTAGAAGAACTATTGGCATGAAAACAATAATATTTTTTAGAAAATGATTCCACATATTAAACTAAACCTGTCTCCCAGTACCTTCCACTCATCAGTTCTAGCTCTGACTCTAAAAGTGCACATTGGGAAACATTCCCTCTTCTACATTTCCAGTCTTGGTCTTCCAGACTTCTTTTCTTCAGGCAGAGAGTTACCAAGTCTCTAATATACATGAATACTGTCTTCAAGCCAGTGGAGGCCTAGGCTAAGATGCATGTGTTTCTTGATTTCTTTGCTGATTCACGGCACTCTACAATGATTTTTAAATTTTTTTTTTTCAGTACACGGGCCTCTCACTGCTGTGGCCTCACCCATTGCAGAGCACAGGCTCCGGACGCACAGGCTCAGCAGCCATGGCTCACGGGCCCAGCCGCTCCGCGGCATGTGGGATCTTCCCAGACTGGGGCACGAACCCGTGTCCCCTGCATCGGCAGGTGGACTCTCAACCACTGCGCCACCAGGGAAGCCCTAATTTTGTTTTCTGAAATTGAGATGTAATTGACATATAACACTATATTAGTTTCGGGTATAAAACATAATGATTTGATATTTGTATATATTGCAAAATGATCACCACAAAAGGTATAGTTAACAGCCATCACCATACATAGTTACAATGTTTTTTTCTTGGGATGAGCACTTTTAAGATCTACTCTCTCAGCAATGTTTTTTGTAATTAATTCTTTTTTATTGGAGTGTAGTCGATTTACAATGTTGTGTTTCTGCTGTACAGCAAAGTGAGTCAGTTAATATATATGCACTCTTTTTTCAGATGCTATTCACATATAGGTCATTACAGAGTATTGAATAGAGTTCCCTGTGCTATGTAGTAGGTTCTTATTCTCAGCAACTTTTAAATACATAATACAGTAGTATTAACTATAGTCACCATGCTGTACGTTACATCCTCATGTCTTATTTATTTTATAAATTGGAGTTTTTACCTTTTGACCTCCTTCACCCACTTTGCCCACCCCTTACTGCTGCCGCCTGCTTCGGGCAACCAGAGAATCTGTTCTTTATGTCTGTAAGCTCACTTTGTTTTTGTTTAGATTCTACGTGCATGTAAGATCGTACAGTGTTTTTCACTTACGGAGCCCTTAAGGTCCACTCATTTGTTGCAAATAGCAAGATTTCCTTCTTTTTTATAATGCTGGATAATACTCATATATATATATTATGTGTTCTTTATCTATTCATCCACTGACGAACGCTTAGGATGCCACCATGTCTTTACCTTTGTAAAGAATGCAGCAATGAAATGGGGGCACAATGACTGCTTTTAAAGAACCTCAGCGTGCCTCATATCCCTTCACAAACTTCACATTCATTTTAGCAAAAACGTGACCACTAAATTTAGAACGAGGAAAGTATGTCACACGCCAAATAGAGGCACACACAATGTGTGCTTTGTTGCTGTGGCTGCTGGGACTAGAGACAGAGCACATCCTTCCGGAGCACCACTTCCCTCTGTGGGGCGTCCTAAGGCTGTGGAAGAGCAACTGGATCAAAATACACAGTAAATATTTAGTCATCGTTTCGCGTTCAGAAGACAGAATCTTTTCCATTTCCTCATGTACTTTTTTTATTTTTTTATTTATTTTTTTTTTTGCGGTACGCGGGCCTCTCACTGTTGTGGCCTCTCCCGTTGCAGAGCACAGGCTCCGGACGCGCAGGCTCAGCGGCTATGGCTCACGGGCCCAGCCGCTCCGCGGCATGTGGGATCTTCCCGGACCAGGACACTAACCCGTGTCCCCTGCAGCGGCAGGCAGACTCTCAACCACTGCGCCACCAGGGAAACCCTTCTCCATGTTTTTCTTTGCCTTTAGAAGTCTTTTTCCAAAATTCATCTCTAGTTTCCTTAGTAACTCAGTCTTTACAGAAACTCTTGTGATGTTTGATACTGGATATTACTCGCCGTCTAATTCATGGGGCTTCCTCATCCTACAACTATTAGATTTCTGATTTCAAAGGGCAAGTGGCTAGCAATATGCATGATGGCTTCTTCAGTTCTCATTAAAATATGATTGTAAATATATGAAGCAAAAAATATGGAAACAGCAGAAGATGAAAACTCAGAATAAAGAAACGAAAATTGGAAAATAACCTAATGTCAAAGAAAAATTGTAATTATTTATATTGCAGATGGAGCCAGCTGGGAAGATGCTCCGTATTCCATTCTTCTATTCCAAGACCTGGATGATTAAGGAAATAAGCAGTTTTTCTATGATGTCAGGTATGATGTTTACCTTATTTGAGTGGTGGAATTGTGAGTGATTTTGACATATTTGCCAATATTTATTTCTTTCTAATTTTTAAAGTCTAAATAGCTTTAAGAAGAGAGCATCTATCTATCAGCAAAGATAATCTCAAATGTGAAGTGGTTGTTTTGGGGATTGGAAGTTTGGGTGATGATTTTGTCCTTTTATTTTATTATTTTTCCAAATATTTTTTTACTATATTTACATGTTATATATAATTATAGAATAGAATATAGTTTTTAAAAGACAATACAATAGAGGACTCTGAGAACATTGGTTTTATTGCCTCTTATTTCAAGTCAGATTTGCAACAAAATATTTTCTTTCCTACTTGATATTTTTTATCACCAAAGTGAGAAAGATTATCTTTTTTATGAGAAAGACTTGTTTATATGTATATATAAGAAATTCAAATGGTTGTCTGGATTCTTACCCAAAATGGAGGGTGTGTTTGAGTGGTCTGCGTTAAAATATAGTCTAGGTAGCACTCAGAACTTACAATGGTTATTCCAGAGCTAGACTGTGTAGAAGCTAAAACTGAGGATGACTTTTTAATAATAATCATTTTAACAATGTGGAGAGAATTATTGAGATAATCTGTGTCATTAATATAATATCTTTGGATGCATAAGGGGCTGTGGCATATCTTAAAAGATATAGGAGTCATCCTCAGAAGCAACTAAAACTGAGGTATGATAAGAGACTCTTGTAACTGCTTTAGACTTTATTGTTTTATTATTGTTATTATGATTAAGGCATAATTTACATACATTGAATGTACAAATTTTAAGTGTACAGTTCTATCACTTTTAACAGATCCATATAACCTGTATAATCTGCATCTATATGAAGGTATAGAACATTTCTATCACTACAGAAAGTTCTCTTAGGCTTCTTACCAGACCATTTGGTTTCTTTCCAGTTTAAGGCTTTTGTGAATAAGGATACTATGAATGTTCTTGTCCATTATAGTAGATACACTCATTTCTGTTGGGCATATGTACAGGAGTGAGGTCGCTAGGTTATGGGGTATGTGTATGTTGAGATTTAGTAAGTACCTTAAAATATTTTTCTATGTGACTGGACCAATTTACACTCATCCCGCTAAGTAAGAAATTCACAGTTGCTCCATATACTTACTAACACTTAGTATTGTTCATATTTTAATTTTACTCATCCTGGTATGTAATGACAACTCTTTTGGGTTTTAATTTGCATTTTTCTGGTGAGTAACGGTGTGAGCCTTTTTTCATATGTTTATTGGGTGTTTCGATGTCTTCTATTATGAAGAGCCTGCCTATCACAGTGTATCGTAAATGTCTATTTGCTTGTCTATAATTATGTTCTCACAACTGGTCTGTGAGTTCCCTAAAGGTAAGGAATGTTTTTAATAGACCTTTCTTTTCCTGATACTTAGCACACTGCACTAGCCCACTGAAGATTCTAAAAAATATTAGTTTGACCAAAAAAGGGATAATAATTAAATAGCTCCTTGTATGTGTCAGGTGCTCTTGTGTATTACCTCAGTTAATTCCCACAGCAAATCCACTTACCGATGAGGAACTTGAAGCTCAGAGAGCTTCAAATATTTGCAATGGCCATAGAGCTGGTGAGTGGCTTGCATTGCTATAGACTAAAACCAAGACTTTCTCCTTTGAAAAGTGTTTCCATTGTTCCTTCTAATCCACTACAATGGCTTCAAATTAGAAAGCAGTCTTTCATTGTATTCATTTTGCACCCATGTTTACTGCTCATGATGGCAGAGGATGGTGTGCTAATATCCAAGTTTCTCTTCTTTTCTCTGGGCACACAGCTAAATTACCTTTCCCAGGCCCCTTGAAGTTGGGTAGGGTCTGTGACCAAGTTACAGCAATAGAATGTGATCTAATATTGTGTATACCACTTCCAGGTTTCACCTATAAAAATCTCCCACACGCAATCGCCCGCTTGCTGCCTACATCTTGAAGATGGTGGCAACATGAGCTATAAGGAGGCTGGGTCCCTGAGTGACTGTGTGGAACAGAAACTCCTCCCCTCCCCCCACCACACTGGTCTGTCATGAGTGAACTTGAAGCTGTTATCATGATAGACCACAGAGATGTCAAAGTTTGTTATAGAAGCCCAGTCACCTAAGTCTCTCTCTAGATATTGGTGATGTGGAGATGATGGACTTTGAGAACTTCAGTTTGGTAAATAAAGAATTCTAACACATGGCAAATGTTGTAATAAAGGTACAAACTAAGTTCTCTGGCAAATGATGGAGACAGATCAGTTCTGCCTTGTAAACTTAAAGAATATCTCACTGAGGGGATAATATTTTTTTACCTTGTCCTTGGAAGATCAGATCGAAGTGATGGGCATTTCAGGTTGTAGAAACAGCGTGAGGAAATGTATGGAAAGCTAAAAAGCATGGTGTACCGCTTTTGCCTGGAGATTTGTGAAGTTCAGTGTGGCTAGATTACAACTCATATGAGGAGAATGGTAAGAGAGAAATTCAAAAAAAAAAAAAAAAAAGTTTGGTGGCCACAATTGAAGCATCTACTCTACCATGAAAAGGAATTAGAAGTTGGTGTTATGATCAATGGGGAGCCATTTTTTATGAATTGAAGGGAAAGAAACTGGACCAGGAAAATCATTTAAAGGCATTGCAATTATCCAGATGAAAAATAATGAGGATCAGAGCTAAAACATTGTCAGTGGGTATTAAGAGGAGGTAGATTTTTAAAATTAATGTGGCTGTGGAGACAAAACGAATGACATTTAGACTGTTTCTTTTGTTGAATGTCACCCACTATTAGAAAAGTATTACATAAATCAAGTCCAAATGAATCTCTGGTATTTTCAGGTCTTCTTCTAGAGTCTCTGTTTCTTGTTAAAATGTCAATTGTTGATTTCTTTCTCTAACTTCTCAGAACTTCTGGCGGCCTTGTTCTACTTAAAATGTGCTCAACAATAATATTCTGTCAATGAAAAAAAACAAGTTAAGATTTCTGTAATTGTTCCTTGCGTGCTGTTCCCCAACATTTCAGTTTGTTTTCTGTTTTAGATGGAAGATAAACACTTTAACTCCACAAATAGTTATTGAGCTCCTATTATGTTCTCAGCATAGCAGTAGTCAATAATGATAAAGAGAGTATAATCCTCAATTTTCAGCCTTTATGAAATTCCTGGTCTAGAGTCAGTAGGGAAAAGGAAATCAAGAAGGGTAACAACTCCAAATGGCAACGATACAGTCTAAAGCTGCTACCAAAATGAAGTATTATGAGGGTTCAAATTGCTAAGAAGATTCAAAGGAGTGATGTTAGGTATTTGGAATGGTAGGTGTGGTTTTGTGCAGACTTCACGCAATGTGGCATAGGTTTCAATGATGAAGGTGATGATGATGGTGATGATAATGATGATGGTGGTGGAGGACAAGTTCCTTTTAGCATCTGTAATTAGATGACACTGGAGTTACTACTGACATGCCTGTGGGCATATGACCAGGAAGGCTGTTCTTCCACATGCATGCCTGGTCTCCCGCATTAATGATTCAAATCACTGATTATGTAATAACAATAATGAGAATTGCTAGCCAAAGAGTCAATTTTCACTGTTTGTTTTGCTTCTCAGGTGAATAAAGGCAGTTTTAGAAAGGCTCCCGTGAATTAACAGAATAAAGCAAACACACAGGAGGAAAAGTATCACCAAGGATTAAGGAAGCTCACGTTAGAATCAGAGTAGGAGACACACAGAAGCTTAGCAAAGGGAATTAAGGAGCAGTTTCTTTTCTTCTGCCTCTGAAAATTTACTTGCAAACTGAATCACAAGCAGAGGAGGAAAAGGTAGGCCATTGTATGATGAGAGGGGGAAGGAAAAAAAAAGCAGCAAGTAGGATTTTAGTTTGTTTTTTAGAGGATTAAATAAGGCTGATGCCAGGAACATGCTGAAGTAAATTTCCCAAAGGGGTAAGGTTTTGGCAGAAAATCAGAATCATGTATTTAGAAATGAGCATTATTCTTTAACTATACCAACAAAAACTCTAAAGTATTCAGCCTGGAAATGAATTTGGAAAGAATATAATAGATGTATTCATTCATTCATTCATTTATTCTGCGAACATATATTGAATGGCTATTATAGAACAGACACTCTGTGAGGCATTGGTAGGAAAAAAAGGCTGAGACAGTCAGGCCTCCCTCAAGAAGTTCATGCAGGGTGACTCACAGAAAAACAAAAACAGAAAAACAATAAACATGGTGGTGCGTATTGTGAAGCTAGGTATGAGCTAGCTGCTAAGGAAGTGTGGAGAAAGAAATTCTTCATCTGGCTGGGGCAGTGAGGAAAGGCATCCCAGGGGAATAACTCTCTTGAATTAGGATGTGCAGATGAATAGAAATTGGCCAAGGGGAAAAAGCGGGATAGATACTTAAGGCAAAGAGAAACAGAAGAGAAGCAGATCACGCACCAGTGATAATTGCTGCACATAAGACTCACTGCTGGATGCTAAAATTAGTGGGTAAAAGCTTTTGCATAAACAAAATTTACACAGTCTCAAAGTATCTCCCCCAAGGTATGTATTAACTACAAAGACAAAGAGAGTAATTTTACAGTAGAAAAATTCAGCAGAAACCACCTTCTAGTAGCTAGAGATCAGCATCATCAGTGAAAAGCCATAAGCGTTATGAACCCAGTGATACGATGCACTGAGGAGAACACAGCACTTCTGTATTGTTCTTGCCCAAAAGGCATAACTTCAGTCCAATCATGAGAAGACATCAGACAAAAGAAAACTGAGGGACATTCAGCAAAACAACTGATCAATGCCCTTCGAAGGTGTCAAGGTCATGAAAGATAAGGAAAGACTGAGAAACTGTTACAGACTGTAGGAGACTAAGGAGAAGTAAGAACTGAATGCAAGGTGGGATCCTGGTTAGGATATGGAACAGGAACAAAGTTAGTGAAAAAACTGGTGAAATTTGAATAAGACTGTTAG